TAAGTGCTTTAAATAAGTTTCATAATTTTAATGTATATTTTACTAGGTGCCCTAAGACAGTGGAAAACTTCTGTGTTCACAGTAGAAATGGTTATTATAATGGGCATACTTTTCACCGTATAATTAAGGTAAGTTATGTAAATTTTAATTTTTTGATTTACCAAATAGTACAGAACAAGCCTACACAAGAAACTTAAGCTTACAGAATTCTCTATGCATACTAGTGTATTAAAAGGAAACAGGAAAGTGGACTATAGAAGCCAACAAAATGGATAATAGGTCACATCTAGAGTCAAGGACAGGAAGAGCAATATTATTTCAGGAGCAGAGGGTAAGACAATGAATCAAAGGGCATGCTGAGATAAACCCCAAAATAAAGGAAACCAGTTCCTGATAACTAGGCAAAGTCTAATCTAGAGTGTAAGATTTTAAACCATAGAAGAGTACAATGCCTTCTGACCCATGAATCCACTTTTATATCTGAGAGAGTTTGAGCAGCATTCCAGAGAAGATGAGACAGTGACATAGTTCTTACTTATTGGCAAATCAGAGATGGTAGGAAGAGCTGGTTGTGGTGCTGCATACCTGTAATCTTGGCACTCAGAACGCTGAGGCAGGACTTCAAAGTTAGCCTGAACTTCACAGTAAAGACTTTATCTCCAAAAGCAAACAGAAAATCAGAAAATTCTTAAGGAATTAGGAAAACTCCTCCTCCAGAAAGTCTGTGGTATTTGAGTTGATGAAAAGATGAGGACAGTTATAAGACATAAAATATAATTTTTTTTTAAATCTTAACACATTTATTTACTATTTTCTTTATATTAGGAAAGTAGTACATGTCAAAGATGAGAAGACCTTTGTATTGGGGTGTAGAGACAGGGTCTCACTATGTAGTTTAAGCAAGCCTCAAATTCATGACAATCCTCCTGCCTCAGCCTCCGAATTAGTGGGATTACAGGCATGTATTTGCATCTAAGCCCAGCCCAAACTTTTGTATTCTCGTTTCAGTCACTGAATCAAAATACATTATCCAGATTTAACTTGCTAAGGGTAATCTAACTTTGTAGATATACTTGAGGAAGCAAGGATTTCACTGAATACATCTTGGCAGAAAACATAAAACATGCAAAGCCTACATATATACACTACTTTAAGACATGTAACATGCTTTTATATATTTTCGGTTAAGGGCTTCATGATACAGACTGGAGATCCGACAGGTACTGGTATGGGAGGAGAAAGCATATGGGGAGGAGAATTTGAAGATGAATTTCATTCAACACTAAGACATGATAGACCATACACCCTCAGCATGGCCAATGCTGGATCAAATACTAATGGATCACAGTTTTTCATAACAGTAGTACCAACGGTGAGTGCATTCTTTATAAACTATAGATTCATGGGTTATAAACTAAAACAATGAAGTCAGTGACAAAGTGCTGTTTTGTTCTATAACTTCTGCATATCTGCCAGGATACAAAAATGAAAACAATTAGAGAAAAGTTGATAAAGTACAACGAGATAGTAACTAGCTGCAGTATAACTCAGTAATACATAACTAGCTAGGTCATGTATCTCTTGTTACACAGATCCACAAAATTACAAGGGTAAACTTTTTAAAAGACCAATCAAGAAAGGAAAAATGCGTCTAACTGCTGTCAGTTACATTTATGGTAGTTATAATATAACTATATTTAGGTCTCAGTAACATGAGAAAACGAATGGTAAGACATGATTAACTTGCTGTCTTAGGTCAAGTAAGTGGTAGACCTACCAACTAAACTATCAGTTATGTCAGTTATCACCTATTATCAATTACAGTACATGGTAAACGATCTCAAACTGCTTTTTAATGGTCTGGGAAGCCTTAGTCATTTTTTAAATCCATGGAAAATAACTTTAGCAAGCATCTTCCTCCCTTTGTTCTGAAGAACATAGATTTAATCAAACTTGGTTCCCTTTTATCATTGAGTTCCTAACTCATTGACTTGTAAAAACATGGATTGAAAATATTCAGGAAAAAAAACTGCATCTATGGATTTAATATTGCAGGGGGAATGAGGGATACCAGTCCTCTGTGGATACTAAAGACTAACATGTACTTTTATGTCTTCATAAACTGGGAGTAACTTTTAAAAGCAGCTAT